TTTCTGTATAGTTCTGTGTATTCTTTCCACCTTTTATTGATCTCTTCTGCTTCTATTAGGTTTTTATCATCTCTGTCCTTTATTGTGCCCATCTTTGGCTGAGACGTTCTTTTAGTACTTCCAATTTTCTTGAAGAGATCTTCAGTCTTACCCTTTCTGTTGTTTTCCTCTGTATCTTTGCGTTGCTCATTGAGGAAGGCCTCTTGTCTCTCCTTGCTGTTCCCTGGAGCTGTGCATTCAGTTGGGTGCGCCTTTCCCTTTCTCCCTCGCTTTTGCTTCTCTTTCCCTCAGCTATTTGTAAAGCCTCCTCACACAACTACTTTCCCTTCTTGCTTTTCTTTTTCTGGGGGGATGTTTGTTCGTTGCTTCCTGTGCAGTATTACGGACCTCTGTCCATAGTTCTTCAGGCACTGTGTTTACTAGATTTACTTTTGAATTTGTTCATCATCTCTACTGTATATTCATAGGGGATTTAAGTTGTACCTGACTGGCCTAGTGGTTTTCCCTTCTTTCTTTAATTTTACTATGAGGAGCTGATGATCTGAGCCACAGTCAGCTCTAGGTCTTGTTTTTACTTCCATAATACCACCTCTCTAAAAGCCAGTCCTCCTCCTGAAGTGGAAAGAAAGCAAATGAATCATGTGGCCAGCTCATGTGATGACATCTGACAGATGGTTCCAGATTCCTGAATGTCTGTGGTCTCCAGGTCCCTAAGCCAGGGCTGGGTAAGCATCAGTTCTGGGAAAGGTAGTAGCCCAGACTCTAGGAACAGCTTCATCCCAACTCCAAGGAGATAGCTGGCTTGCTGATACCTCAAATACACCTTTGTGATATCCTTCGTGTGTGGGCAGTAATATCTTTGTTATGGTACTGTCATGAGTAGTAAATGACACAATGTCTGTAAAGCAAAAGCTCATCACAATGCCTGGCACATAACAATTAATGGGACCCCAATGAGCAAAATTAGTTAGTGCAGAGAAGTGATTGTGTTCTTGGTCTAATAATGCTGACTTGCTTCGGAGGAATGATTTTGCTCCAAAACCCTTGCTTCAGAGGAATGATTTTGCTCCAAAACCTCCATAAAGTCCCCACAAAGTAGAAAGCATGATCTTCCCTCCCCAGGTAAAGATTTTAGGAGCTGGTGTATGTAGAGTACCAAACCTGATGCTCTCATCAGTTTAATCAAGTGACTAAATCTCAGTCTGAAGTCATAGGAAGAGATGTCAGTCTTGAAGAGAAATGGATCACAGCTTTCTCTGAGTGGTCTCCCCCTACCCAAGACATACCTCTGGAGTTGAGTGGGATTTCACTCTGAAGCTGAGGAGCTTTTATTTCAGGGTTCCTTGAGGCCCCACATGGTACTTCAGGATTCCTGCATGGCCCTTCTAGGGCCCAGAATTCCATATTCACACCTTGGCTTCGTTTTGTTAAATGGGGCTCCCTCTCCAGCTGAACAAGCTTCAGTCCCCACCACTGGCTGGGGCAAGGGTCCTTGATGGGAACACTGGCTCACAGCCGGAATCCAGGTGAAGCTCAAGAGTTAGTCCAAGCATAAATTTCTTCCCAGGTTCACTGTGCATTCTTTCAGATCTTCTCTTCTTCCATCTATCTTTTCTCTCCTCCCTGCCTCCCTCCCATAACAGAGATGCAGATTGTTCAAATGTAGAAGCATCAAGTTTTACCACCTGCTCTCTGGAAGAAAGGGAGGAATTTGCTCAGTGGCTTAGTTGAGCTAGAAATTAGGTTTCCTGTCTTCCAGTTTAAAGCTTTTTCTCATACTGTACCCTTTCTTCCTTCTTTGATCCCTCCTTCCTTCTCTCCCTCTTCCTAGAAATAAAGGAGTTCATCTTTTCTTTAAAAGGAAGTCACTTCGTGAAAGTGACCAACAAGGGGCAAAGAATGTCTGACTTTTTTACTCTTGTTTTGCGTCCAGTTCTGGGATTCAATTGTTTTCACTGGCCTTTTGTACTGTTAGTTTATAAAAAAAAATCAATAGTTTAATATAGAAAAGAAATCCCCTGGCTATCTGTTTAGAGCTGTATTACCTTCATTGCATGGCTCTGGTGCTGCCTGCCTGCCTGCCAGGAATCCCTAACTCAAATTGTTTAGTGTAACACCAGCCCAGCTCTCTGGAGCCAGTCCACCAGATGCAGGATGATGCTTGTAGTAACATCTTTAACGGAACTCAGACGTGTCTAGGGCGGAACACTTCTCAGAGATGTTTATGTATGATGACAATGGTATACATTGTTGATGTTGTCCAGTCACTAAGTCATGTCCAACTCCTTGTGGCCCCCACGCTAAGTCCACGGGGTTGCAAAGAGTCGGTCGTGACTTGGTGAGCAAACAACGACGGACTGTACCATGCCAGGCTTCTCTGTCTGCTACTGTCTCCTGGAGTTTGCTCAGATTCATGTCCACTGAGTCGGTGATGCTGTCTAATCACCTCATCCTCTGCTGCCCCCTTCTCCTTTTGCCTTCATCCTTCCCAGCATCAGGATCTTTTCCAGTGAGTTGGCTCTTCACATCAGGTGGCCAAAGTATTGGAGTTTCAGCAACAGTCCTTCCAAAGGATTTTCAGGGTTAATTTCTTTTAGAATTGACTGGTTTGATCACCTTGCTGTCCAAGGGACTCTCACGAGTCTTCTCCAGCACTACAACTTGAAAGCATCAATTCTTTGGAGCTCAGCCTTCTTTATGGGCCAGCTCTCACATCTGTACATGACTATTGGAAAAACCATAGATTTGACTATATGAACCTTTGCTGGCAAAGGGATGTCTTTACTTTTTAATATGCTGTCTAGGTTTGTCATAGCTTTCTTTTCAAGGAGCAAGCATATTTTAACTTCATGGCTGCAGTCACCATTCACACTGATTTTGGATTGACAATATAAATGTTTAACCAAACTGGTTCAAATTAATAACTGCAATATTCAAATAGGTAGGTTAGGCAGCATTATTTTTACACTGGTCAGGGAAGCAGCTATACATCAACTCATATCTCCTCTTCAGCATATTCACATAAGGAAGCAATTATCCCCATTGTATAGATGAAGAATCTAAAGGCTAGGAGCTCACATGACTTGCCGAGGGTGCTGAGGCAAAGCACAACTGGATAATAGCATCTCCTTCATCTTGATAAGAGCTTCCTTAGTGGCTCAGATGGTAAAAAAAAAAATCTGCCTGCAATGTGGGAGACCTGGGTTCAGTCCCTGGGTGAGGAAGATTCCCTGGAGAAGGAAATGGCAACCCACTCCAGTATTCTTGCCTGGAGAATCCCATGGACAGATGAGCCTGGTGGGCTACAGTTCATGGGGTCACAGAGTCGGACACAACTGAGCAGCTCACGCTTTCATCTTGATAGAACCCATAGTTTCTGTACTTGACCTTAGGGCCTCTTGGAATGTGGGAAAGTACAATCCAGACAGACTATGTGATGATCTCCTAAACATCCTCATCTTGGCCTTAACCTTCTTCCTTGTTTTTTCACCAACACTAGACAATAGAAGATTGGGTTAAGCCAGGTGGACCCTTGAATAAAAAGCAACACAGTTTTAGCTCCACAGTAACCCATGACTCATCTCTGACTCAAGATGAGATGGGCCAACTGTACTCTTTCCTTAGGACTTAAAACTTGAGAAACTCAGAGGGTTAGCCAGTTGGTAGTGATTTCTGGTGTTGGAACATCTTGCGGATACTATGGTGGGTGGAGTGCTTCACGGGTTATGCTCAAGATGAGACAGCAGATAGTTCACAGGAAATTCTCCCATAGTGCAGTCTGTGGAAAATACTCAAGAAGGGACAAATATAGTCATTGTATTGATTTCCTAGGGGTGCTGTAACAAATTATCCCAAACCAGCTGGCTTAAAACAACAGAAATGGATTATGTCACAGTTCTGGAGACTAGAAGTCTAAAATCAAGGCGTCAGCATGGCTGTGTTCCCGTCTAGGCTCTAGGGGAGAATTGTTCCTCGATTTCTTCCTCGCTTCAAGTGGTCACCGACAGTCTTTCGTGTTCTTTGGCTTGTAGATCCATCACTTCAGTGTCTGACTGTCTTCACGTGGTGTTCTCCCTTTGTGTTTCTCATTTCATGGAGTGTTCTTTTCTCTGTGTGTGTGTCCAGATTTCTGTCTTCTTATAAGGGTACCAGGAATTGGGTTTTGTCTCACCATAATCCTGTATGGCTTCATCGTAACTTCATTACTTCTGGAAGATCCATTTTTTCAACGAGATATGAGATAAGATTCTGAGATTCTAGGGGCTCATGAACCATGGGGAAGAGCAGTATTCAACCTTGTGCAGTTACTGTCACCATCATCATTGTCGTCACTATGTAAGAAATGCAAGGTGCCCGGTAAGATTCTGGTACAGAGTAAGTGCTCAGTAAACGGTAGCCTTAAATGATAATGCCCACAGCACCAGCAATCACAATGGCACTAATAAATAAGATGTGCCGGTCTGTACTTAGCTGCTCAGTCGTGTCTGACTCTTTGCAGCCCCATCGACTGTAGCCCGCCAGTCTTCTCTGTCCATGGGAATTCTCCCGGCAAGAGTACTGGAGTGGGTTGCCATGCCCTCTTCCAGGGGATCCTCCCAACCCAGGGATCTTTGCAGGCAGATTCTTTCCCAGCTGAGCCACCAGGGAAGCCCAAGCATCCTGGAGCGGGCAGCCTGTCCCTTCGCCAGGGGATCTTCCCGATCCAGGAATCAAACCGGGGTCTTCTGCATTGCAGGCAGATTCTTTACCAGCTGAGCTACCAGGGAAGGCCCATAAATAAATAAGATGATATGTCTAAAATGTCTAGTATCATACTTAGTGTATAATGGGGCTGTTTATTCTCTTCTTCCCCACAGTACCAGCACACAGAGGTACACACAGTGGGGTGCTCAATAAATATTAGTTGAAAAAACAGCACATTTCAGTTTCTTAGAAAAAACCCCACCATTTATCTCCAAGAAATTGACATCAGACTCAGGATGGAGCAGCCAGCAGGGCTGTCACCTGAGAGCAGGAGGTGTGAGTGGATGACAGGCCAGCTCTCGGCTGCGGGCGCCGATGGCCACTCCTAATGAGACAGAGTGAGAAACGAGCTCAGTCTGCGCAGCTGTAGTTTAATCCTTCCCAAGCCCGTGGGGCCCAGGACAGAGACACCCGCTGATTTCAGGTTCCTTTCTGGAAAAGGCACACACTGGTTTTGGTTTAATTGTGCAAAGGTGATCTTCAGTACCCCTCTAACCCTCAGCTCAGTTTCCAGCTCCACCTGGCAGAGAGGGGAATGGAAGGACTTGAAATCCAAGCCTGTCTCTGCCCTAGGGATCCAAGTGGTTATGGACTGGTTCTTTTCTTTCCATGATTCCCAGTCTCCTCATCTGGAAAGTGGACATGATATTCTCACCACTGGGCTCTCTTGAGGATTAATGAGATGGTGGGTCTAAAGAGAACTTAATAACCTGAAAAGAAATGCAAGCATGTTACCTGTCTAGCAGTCCCACTCTACCAGATCGAAACTTCTCCTCCCACCAAGCACCTCCGATATGGATTGCTTGTTTTCTATTCATCAAGCCACATACTTAGGAAAACATTTGAGACCGACTTGAATCCTGATACTCATGAGTAATGACAACTTCAAATGTTACTTCCCTAGGAATTTCTTCCCAATAGGGAGCAATACTTTAAGCTAGATGAATTTATTTATTAATTCATTCATCCATTTATTCATTCCCCTATGCATTTATTCATTTGTCCTTAGATCCATCATCCATTTGACTGTGATTTATTGAGCACTTGCTCCATGCCCGTTGTTTCTGAGGTATGAAGATGAATCCAGCAAGAACTGTGGTTTCATGGCACTTGCAGACTCAGGAGGGAAGTATTAATATATGAACGCAAATAACTGAGGCAAGGTCATGACTTATGATTAGGGCTTTCCTTCTCTTGGGACCTGAGTTTCCTAGCTATAAAGTTGGATAGCCGGACCAATTGTTCTTAATTCACCCCCTAACAGTCTGAGAAATGACTGTATTATTGGAAGGAACACTGAACTGGGGCTCAGGACGTTCCAGGATTTGGGTCCTAACTCAGAAAAGGTATGAGGCTCTTTTCACCCTGTGCAGCTCAGCCTCCCAGTGTATGTGTGTGTGTGTGTGTGTGTGTGTGTGTGTGTTTGTACGTGCGCGCGTGCATGATGGGCTAGGGGGAAGTAATCCCTGAGAGCCTTTTACAGCCTTTCACTTTATAAAATCAGTCCACGCCTTGACCGGGGCGGTCTGGGCGGGGTTGGGGGGCGGGCAGTGAGTGACACATCAGTAGCAGCTGAGCAAAGATTCTGAGGAAGACACCGCAAAGAAAGCCAAGAATGGAGCTCCTGGAAGCTTCCGCTGACTGCCAGCAGGCATCTTCCTGGGATGCTGGGCATCCTGCCATGACTGGGCATCTCTGTCTTCTGCTTTATTGGCTGAGCGTGGACATGTCAGGTGCAGAAAGCAGACACCCGCTTTTCCTCATTGAGGCCATCCTGCCATAACATGTCTATATCCTAGCCCAGGTAGTATGATCTCATGGGGACAGTGCTGGGACCTCAGCATGGACAGGGCAAGGTCCAGCTGAATCAGCCTTTCAGGAGAAGAGCTTTTATGGTCACCAGCCTGCCATTGATTTATGTTTTGTTCTGGCAACTCTTGGTAGCCCTGGGGGCCCAGTCTCAGAGGTGGGGCAGGAGGCTGTGCCGTGGTGGGGGCTGCGAGAGCATCAGCAGACACACAGCTGCCAATAAGCTGGGCTAGAACAGCAGCTCTTCAGCCAGTGGCTGAGAACTTCTGGAATGAAGTTTTAAAGAACTTCAGAGATTCTGTGTGTTCTCCCTGGACTACTGATCCTCTGAGATATTCGGCACACTTGAATTCTGCCTCTCCCACTTCCCTGCTGTGCACCTTGGGCAGATTTCTTTACCCCTCCCTGCCGAAGTATCCTCATCTGCAAAATTACAGGAAGTAATTGAAGTTGAGAAGGTCATTAAGTGAGTTGAGGCTTAGAAAGCACTTAGAGTGGTGTCTGGTGCTCAGTGAACAACAAGAAAGTGTCAATTCTGTATAAAGTGGAGAGAGGAAATAACAATACTAATACTAACACCACACCAACAACAGTAATACTAACTTGCTCTCAGAGCGCCTCAGGGCAAGGCAGCATGGCCAGGGCTTTGGGAAGTGGTCTCACAACATGTAAACTTGATTCATTTTCTTTAAATAAGAGATGCTAATAGCCCCTACCTCATAGGGATTTGTGGGAGTTAAATAGGATTACAGATGGGTGCACTCTGCATAGATTCTGACACACAGTTAGTGACCAGTGAAACATTGAATTCCTGTCCACAGTGAGGGTTAAAACAGCAGTTGCCTGTGACTTTGGAAGGTGATTTATGGAAGCCAATGGTTCTTTTCAGCAGGCAAGAGAAGGATATCAATCGGTGAAAGTAAGCCGTAAGTGAAAATTGAAACTGTCAGATGGCGTGGACTTCCTGCTCAGTCTCTGGCAGTTTTTTCTCTCTTCTTTTAATTAAAAGTTTTTGTCTTCTGATGTAGAAGTGAAATAAATCACTTCTGACCTTAGCATGCTCAGTGCCTCCCTGGAACGGAAGCCTGCCCCGTAGGCACGGATGTCTTCCTTCTGGGAAATCCAGTGCTAGGACCTGCTCCTGAAATTCACTCAGTAGCAGCTCATCCAGCCCGATGCTCACAGTGGCTTTGGATCCTGACCTGAGTTTAAAATCCAACCCTGTGACTTCCTAGATATCAGATTTTGGCGAGTTATTCTAAAACACATTTCTAACTTTTGTTTAGTGAAATGGTGTTAATAATAATGCCTGTTTTAAAAGCTTTTTTTTTCAAGAATTAAATCAGAAAGAGTATTTCTAGCACAGTGACTATACACAGAATCTCCATGATAAATATGAGTCCTTTTCCCCTTTTCCCTTCATCTTTCTGGGCTTTGATGCCTTGTTCTCTAGAACATGTGGCTTCCCCAACTCAATTAACCAACATTCTCCATCTAAGGGAACAGTATGGACTCCATGGTTAAGAGAGCAGACTCTGGGATCGTACCACCTGGAATCGAGACTTGGTTCCAATGTCTACTGTGTGACCTTGGTCAAAAGTTATAACCTTTCTGTTCAGGTTATCTATTAACACTTTTTTAGGAAAAAAAAAATCTCTAAACTTAGTGGTTTGTGATAGCCATTACATTTTGATAACAATTTGTGGATTAAGAATTCGGGGCTCAGCTGGGCAGCTCATCTGGACCCATGCGGCATTATCTGAAGGCTCCCCTTCTAGAGGGTTTGCTTCCTTCCCGCGCTCCGTGACATACACCCACGGCTTGTGCTTCTCGTAACTTAGTTCTCATAGAACCTTCTCACAAGTTCTCAGGGTTGTTGGATGTTTTACAGTTTCTCAGGGCTCTGAGAGATAGAAAGCATTACAAGAAAAGCTTCTTAGGACCAAGCTTCAGAAGATTCAGAACATCATTTCTGCTGCGTTCACCTGGTTGAGTAAGTTAAGACAGTTTGGATTCAAAGAAAGGGAATTTGACTGTATTTCTCAATGGGAAAGTATTACAGCCATTTTTAACATAGTACATCCTTGGAGCCTCCCCTTTCCACCTCTGGGGGCTTGTGGAGAATTAAATGAGATAGTGAACAGATAATTTAGCACAGCACCTGACATATAATAAACACTCAGTATAAAGTTAGCTCTTATTAGTTGTCTGCTTTCCATCCAGGCCTTCTTCCTCACCACTTTCCTCTTGCATGAGTGCACACACACACACACACACACACACACACACATCATTTTTTCCCATTTTGAAAATACACATGAAGGATGGATTTTTAGGGAGAAATGGGAGAGCCCTGGGGAACCAAAGTGTGCCCAGGCTTATAACTGAACCCAGGCCTGGATGTTGGTGGCAATGGAGGGTATAGAAGAAGCGGGCCAGTCCAGCAGTTCTTCGGGAGGTGCGCTGATAAAAGATTCAGTGACCGATTGATGCATTACTTGATGGAGTGGGCATGTAAGGAGAAAGGAGGTGACTTGAGGGTGATGCACAGGTTGCTGACCAGGGGACTGGTTGGGTGATGTTTTCATGGATGGCAAACACGACGTTGAGGTTCCGCGGCTGTCTCCTCTTTTACTTACACACTTGTCTTTCTCACATCTGGGCCTCATGCAGACATCCTGGGAATTTAGACGTTGCTCTTTCAGTAACAGGGAGCTCTGGAAGCTTGTCGATCAGAGGAGTGACATGAAACAAGTTGTTTCTTAGGCAGATTACATGATTCATAGCAAAGCAAGACAGATAACTACCTCGTATCCATTTTGGTCTGGTCGTATTTAAGACTTTTCACTGTCTTAACATGGCCTCATCTTTTGCACAGAGAATGGCAGTCCTCTGGTGTAAAGTTGTAACTGTAGAGAAAGTGCAAAAACAAACAAAGCTTCTTTGTTGGCTTCCAACTTAATGAGAACGTAGGCTACTCAGATTCCCCAGGGGAGGGTACTCGTTGACTTGATTGTGATTCAGAGCCCCCATCCTTTTGTGTCTCCGTCAGCCTGAGGCGGTGTCCCACATGCAGTCTGTCCATTGCTGAGCCTCCACGCTTCCTCCAGCTCGATCCTTCTTCAGGGTCTTTGGCTGAAGTCACAGCTCACAGCTCTGGCACAGCTTCGGGCTTCTCCAAACACCGGCTGGCCAGGGAGGGCTCTTCTGTGATATCTCATCTACCTTGTGACTCCAACTGGTGTCAAATAGGTTAGGTTTTTCCCCAGAGAAAATGCACTGCAGGGAAGCCCTATTAAAAACAAAACTAAATGTATATCGTGATGACATATCTGGTATCACGTTATATCAAATATAACGTTGTGTCAGAGATGACGTGTGTGTGTGTGCAGTTGCTAGGATTATGTCCCCACTTTTGCAACCCCATGGACTGTGGCTCACCAGGCTCCTCTGTCCATGGAATTCTCCAGGTAAGAATACTGGAGTGGGTTGCCATTTCCTACTCCAGGGGATCTTTCCTGACCCAGGGATTGAACCCATATCTCTTGCACTCCTGCGTTGACAGGCAGAGTTTTTTACTACCCTTCTTCATAGTAGACTTACATTAGTTTTCCCTTAAACTTTGCAATACTGTGATTCTACACTATACACAGTTGAATTTTTTGACCCTATTTGCAGCATTGTAATGGAGTATTACTGCTATAACAGTAATGGAAACAATAAAAACAGCAATGAAACTGATAACAATAACAATTAGAGTAACAACTATAGCCAGTTTTAAAGTGCGCTTATTGTATCAAGGCATTGCTCTAAGCACACTGTATGTATGCTTATCTCATTTAATCACCGTGAAGTTCTTATGTCTTGGATGATTTTTCATGTTCATACTACAGAGAAAATTGTGAGAGGTCCAGTAGTTTGCCCAAACAGGTAACAAGTAGTGAAGCAGACGCTCAGACCTGGTCTCCCTGGTGAATGGGGGTCGTCACCTTACACAGCCCTGGCACATTTCTCGGATGTTTAGGGTGTGACCTGAGCTTTGTCTTAATGAAGGGGGTGCAGTCTGGCTTCCTTTCCTGAGTGCCCTACAGAGGGCCCTGACATCCTGCTGGATGGAAGACGGCAGAAACATATTAGGCAATCAAAATGTAAACGTTTCCACTTAAAGAGCAAACTGTGGAGCACGCAGGGGACTTGAGATCCATCACATTGGAATTCAGCAGCAAGGGTGAAAGATCCAGGGTATGGTAATAAGTTGCAGAGCAAGAGGATGTCTGAGGAGTGGTGATTTAATTAAAGATACCGGGAGAGGGTTCATCCCCACCCCCCCCACTGCTGCCGACACAGGCAAGTAGCCAGGGCTCTGGAGGACAGGTGACAACCAGCGCCACTCACGGGGGCTCCGGGGTGGCTGCAGAGACTTCTCTGAACTCCCTTCCGGGTGGAAAACCTTAGAGCCTGCTCTGCGTTTACGATGGCACAGACGCCAGGCTGGACATAAACGGAGTGGAGAGGGCCAGGTGCGCGTGCCGGGAGATGCGGCAGCCTGGGAACACAGGCTCCTTCGTGTGGCCTGCATGGAGTACAGTTCCTGCTCACGGTGGCCGAGGCTCTTTTCATCTTTTGAGGGAGGCTGGACCTCAGAAAAGAGGCCGACTTATAAATACTAGGAAAAGTAAAGAAAGATATAAAAAAAAAACAATTCTCTGGTCCACATCTGTTGGGCAAATAAATCCTGTATTTCTGTTTGGAAATTCAGCATTTATTCAAATGTCACTTACTCTGGGAAACCTCTGTATTAGTTTGCTAGGGCTGCCAAAACAAGGGGCCACCCATGGGGTGGCTGGAAACAGCAGACATTTCTTCCTGTCACAGTTTTGGAGGCTAGAAGTCTGGAGTCAAGGGTATTGGAAGAGCCATGCCCCCTCTGAAACCTGCAGAGGAATCCTTCCTTACCTCTTTCTAGATTCTGGTCGTTCTATGGCAATCTGGTGTTGAGACTGAATTCAAACCCTCTAAAGGGCTTCCCTGGTGGATCAGACGGTAAAGAATCTGCCTGCAATGCAGGAGACCTGGGTTGGGTCCCTGGGTTGGGAAGGTCCCCTGGAGGAGGGCATGGCAACCCACTCCAGTATTCTGGCCTGGAGAGTCCCAACGGACAGAGGAGCCGGCGGGCTGCAGTTCATGGGGTCACAAAGAGTTGGGCACAACTCAGCGACTGAGCACACACACACCCAACCACGTGACTGGCTGCACTGGCATCCAGCCCCCACAGGAAGGTACGTTCCAGAATTCGTGTCATTAACATAACAAATGTCCTTTTTACCATTTGAACTATTCCTTAGGAAGTTCCAAAGGTTTAGGAGCTCTGTGCCTTGAAACTACGGATGAAGATTAAGTTTCCTGTTACAAGTTAGTGTTAGTAGCTCAGTTGTGCCCGACTCTTTGCGACCCCATGGACTGCAGCCCACCAGGCTCCTCTGTCCATGAGATTTTCCAGGCAAGGACACTGGAGTGGGTCGCCATTTCCTTAGTATCACAAATACCTTGGGCTTCCTCGGTGCCTCAGCAGTTTAAAAATTACACTTGCAGTGCAGAAGACACAGGAAGAGATGCTCCCCTGGGTCGGGAAGATCCCCTGGAGAAGGGCATGGCCACCCACCCCAGTATTCGTGCGTGGAGGGTCCCACGGAGGAGCCTGGTTGTCAACAGTCCATGGGGTCACAGAGAGTCTGACACAAATGAAATGACTGAGCACACCTACACACAGGCATCACAGATACTTAGGAGAAGGAGCCCTGGAAGGCTTCACAGACCAGTCACCTGTGTCAGTGGGGTGTGGCCCTAAAGGATAAATAGGACTTAGTAGTTTGGGAGGGAATGTGGGGAAATAGAGAGACCAAACCAAAGTCTCAGGAAAGAGTTGTAAGGATGGATGAGAAGTTGATGGGACTTGAAGCCATGTTTTCTCGACTGCAAAGAACCTAAGGGGGCTTCCCTGGTGGCTCAGTGGTAGAGAATCTGCCTGCCAACGCAGGAGACGTGGTTTCAGTCCCTGGGTTGGGAAGATCCCTTGTGGAAGGAAATGGCAAACCACTGCAGTATTCTTGCCTGGAAAATCCCATGGACAGAGGAGCCTGCTGAATCCTCCCAGCTCCTCCACCACAACCCTTTCTGAGTGGACTGTCTCTTCACACATCTGTGCTACCACCTGGGAAATGTTGTCTTGACATTTCGGTAAACTGTAGGAGAGCTTCTCGGTCCTGTCTGCCCAAATGCTGGGGTCTTGTAAAATTCTAGCCTTCTGCCCAAGAAATGGGAGCATATTTACTCTATATTCTCAGATCCCCTAAACCAGTGTTGGGTTTCTCTAATTCCTTGGTTACCCTGGGGGAGACAGATCCAAGGACACCTTTCTCAGACACATGGATAATGCGTAACTCACTTAATTTGTTTCACTTCACATCTTTCCTCTTCTTCCAAATTTGGATCATCATTTTTTATTTCAACATTAAGAGTGAGGGGAAACTTTTAAAACTGAATTCAGAGATTCTTTACATGGGGCCTAGTAGGATTCTGACATGTATCATTTCCTTCCCTTACCAAGGTAAGAAACAAATCACACTGGTTTTAACAACGCCTGTGGATTTGTAAAATACAGAACCAGCAGATGGTCCCAAAGCACATTATAGTCTTTGTTGACACCGTGAAATAGCGCTGATGCACATGACTCTAAAATTACAGTGGTCCTTACAAAATTGTTAGCTCATGTGACAATAAAGAAGTACATGTATTCACGATTTTAGTGAATGTATGTATTTCTATATGATTGGTTTCTTCTGTGTTTATATCTATTTCATTTGCCGGAAAAAAATTATAGGACAACCTTTGAAATGGCAGAAAATGAGTCTTCGCTTCCTATATAATGTCAGACAGCCTCTCGTGCACCTTCTGGTGATCTGATTCTATAGTTTTCATCTTTCCTTGCCTTTGAGCTGTTTTACAACTCTGAAAGTTGAGAAAAATGAGAGTAATAGACATGATTCTTGTCCACAGAGGTAAAATTTGTCCTATAGAACATACAGTTGATCCCCACTCTCTCCCTGGTCGCTCTGCTTCCTGACCACCCCAGTTAGGAGCAGGTTTTGGAGGTATTAGCACATTTATTTTAGCAAATGTGCCAGTTGCCCAGATATGTTTCTGCTCTTTGAATTCTCTCTTTGAACTGGTGTGTGGCACTTTCCTGATTTCATTCATCAATCAGTTAAATGAAAACTTTAAAGCACATTCACTTTATATTTGTCATGATATTATACTGTGAAATTATTTTGCAGTGTGGTTGATGCATCTAAAAACGTTATCCTGAGAAGGTGCGTCTATAGGCATCACATGTCACAGCACAGCACAGGGAAAAAATCCAGATGTAATCCCGCATCCTTGGGCACCTTCTGGCCTAGACTTCCAGTACTCAAAAGCCTTCTCTTCTGAGGCACTGTGCCACTGTTGAAGCAACGCAAGGGAACGGTCACAGCGGCAAGAAAGAGCAGGGTGGATGAATCGTACTCGAGTTTTCTTAGGTCAGTCTCCCATGGCAATAGAAATAAAAGCAGAAAATAAATAAGTGGGACTGAATCAAACTTAGAAGCGTTTGTACAGCACCACAGCATGCGTGCGCAGTCGTGTCCAGCTCTTTGCGACCCCAGGGACTGTAGCCCACCAGGCTCCCCTGTCCATGGGGTTCTCCAGGCGAGGATACTGAAAGGGTCGTCCCTCAGTTGTGTCCGATTGTTCGTGGCCCCATGGACTGTGCCTGCCAGACTAGTCTGGCCATGGAGCTCTCCAGGCAAGAGTACTGGGGTGGGCAGCCATTCCCTTCTCCAGGCATCTTCCTGACCCAGGAAGATCGGGAAAGGCAGTCACAGCCAGAACATCTCTGAGCGCGTGTTTGTGCAGGCTGAGTGGGCGTCCGGCTTTTCACTGTCGCTGTCGTTTTACCCGGTAGGGCCGGCAGGGAGTTGTGAAGCTGGTTCCCTATTGTGCACATCGGTGTAGTGGTGTTGTTGCTGGTGTGTATTTTGTTTTAATCACGAGTCTGGGCCTCCTGGTAATAGACTAAACATGAGCTGCTGCCTGCCTTCTTCCCTCTGCGGATGTCATCATTGTAATCAGGGAACAGGTGGGTACAGGCGATTAACGGGGTGGCAGGGGAGGGGAGAGAGGGGATCTAGTCAAGGGGGTGGGGGTTAATTTGACCCTGCAGCTCAGCCGCAGTGTCTGCTCCTGCAAGACTGCCACCGCAGTTATCGGTGGGAGCAGCCCTGCTCAGGCCTCTCAGTCTCATTTCCAGTCCGGGCATGCTTGAGAAGCCATTACCATATTTATAGAGCTACCTGGCCCCACGGCACACGCCTGAGAGGGGGAGAAAGACCTATCTGTTTTTCCAGCTGTGCCGCTGTCCTCGGTGGCGAGGCTGGCTGGGGAGGAGGGCGGGCCGGATCCCAGCATCAGAAGGAGGCAGAGGGTTCGGCAGGAGAGAAAGTGCAAGCTGGGCCGCTTGGTTGCCTCTTCCAACCGGTCGGATGAGCCAGTGTGGCTAGCCTGGCATCTGCCAACCCCGAGAAAAGCAGCACGGTGGACCGCTGGTTAGGGAGAGCGCCGTGGGGGAGCGCGTCTCAATGCCGGCTCCGTCTTCACCCGCAGCCTGCTTCCTTTACTGAGATTCAAAGCTGCCAGCGGACGGGGGATGTGGAAGCAGTGAGGGAGAAGTGGACAGACTATGAACTGAGAGGCAAAGAGATCTTATTTGCTGTATAACCTTGGGCAGATTATCTAATTTCTCTGAGCCTCATTTCAGTCATCTGCACAGAAGGGATAATAATGGATTTTTGGAGGGATTTAATTACAGACATGGTTGACTGTGTCTTAATAAATGTTCCCTTTCCTTCATCAGACCATCCTGTCTCACACTGAAGTTTTGACTTACATCACTGCATTCTACGATGCTTTGCTGTGGCAGTCAGAAATGCCTGTATGGGTTTACCCCCCCCTCACTACCCCACCCCCATTAGCACATGTGCAGTCAGAAATGCCTGTGTGGGTTTATCCCCCCTCACTACCCAATCCCCACTAACATATGTGCAGTCAGAAATGCCTGTATGGGTTTACCCCCCTCACTGCCCCATCCCCACTAACACATGTGCTGTCAGAAATGCCTGTGTGGGTTTACCCCTCCTCACTGCCCCATCCCCATTAGCACATGTGCACTCTTGCACTTTCTCTGCTGTTTCTGTCTCTTTCTCTCTCACACACACAGAGACATATATACGTACATACTGGCATTTTTGTTCTGATCAACTGTGGCACATCTACCACATTCTTTATACAACTTAGTGGGTTTTGCAACCAGAAAAGTCTTTCTGGATCTCAGGATCGCACTCCCAAATAAGGGTACTGTGACATTTCTGATTGTGTATCCCAGCACCTTGTGCTCCCATGACCATCTGGTTGTAATACCAAGGTTGCAATGAAAGCAACTGACAGCATGCTTTACCCCCTGCCTTTAGTCCAGCTGAAAGCCAAGTATACTGGACTGCAGTTGGAAGAAAAAAATTACTGGATGTTCTGATGCACTAGTGAGGAAGGGATAGCGAGCATCTTGAAGCAAACTCCTGGTTCTACAAAAACTTGAAAACCAAGCCACAAAAGGAAGTGTGGACTCACCAGGCTGGGACAACTTTTGAGCACTATTCATAGGCTCCCTTGCTTCTTTTTCTCATAAGGAGAACGGGGTCCAGAAGGAAGACTTCAATTTGCTGATTGAAAATGTTGAGTGAGGAGGCAAAAAGGAGAAGCCAGGCTGAGGGAGGGCTAAATATATTTTCAGAAGGAAAGGACTGGTGGCACCTGAAGGAGAACACACGGGAGGGGAAGGCATCCAGGGAGGGTGTGGGCGAGAGGCTGAGCAGGGAGGCGCTGCTGCTGGCGGCGGCGGGGCTCACCCGGTACCGCGGCTGGGAAAGCGGCAGGGAAGGGCGAGATCTCAGGGGCTGCCCAGGGAGTTTTGCTGTGCCGTATGCCGTGTTACCGTCTCGTCTCTGTCTCCTCTTAGCACTGCGGCCTGTGTTTCTCATCAGTCCTTTGGGAACTGGGAGAGTGTGTGTGTGTGTGTGTGTGTGTGTGTGAACTGCCAAGATTGGACCTGAGGAGGCTGGGTTGTAGGCCTGTTACAGGTACCTGTTACCAGATCAGCAGAGCCCTAGCCTTTCCTGGCTTATCTGGCTGGACTCTAGAAGTGTGATGTCACAGCTCACATTGGTAGGAAGAGGAGAGCAATGCCCGTTTAAGGGCAGCAGAGAGTCCTCTGCCTGCAGCTCACAGACTGTGCGCTGTGGGTGTGCTAGTTTTGCTTGACAAGCACACTTAGGTCGGCAAGCAGAGGAGAGAGAGGAACTGCTTGGCTTCTGGAGCTCCAGCGCAGACCTGAGCCCATCCCATCTCTTCGCGGCCAGGCAGGCGGAGGAACAGGAGACCTCTGCTTGAGAGTCTCTCTAATTGCCATGAATCCACCTCCGTCCACTCCCATGATCTACACAGGCAGCTGTAATGCCCTGTGTGTCCAAATGTTTCGTTTCCTCAGACTCTGTCCAAATCCTCCCTCCCTCGTGAAGGATGTCTGGGATACCAAACCCTCACCAAGTGCTTGCCTCTCTGAACAGTAAAGAACGGACGCGCCCCAGTGCCGTGCCCTTGTCTCCTGTGATCTGACGCTCTGCTGTGTCCTCTGTGTCCCAGACGCAGTCTCACTTCTCAGCCTCACGTCCAGTGACTGCACTGCTCACGGGTGAGCATTTTCCCTCAAATCACTGCTTTCTCCAAAGAGGAATTCTGCTTATCTCTTTGTCTTTACATGGGATTCTCTTGCTAGTTCATTTTGAATAATGAATAATGAATTAGTGTTGGAATAAGACACATTTGTCTAAAATAACCTCAAATAACATTAATTGTGCATGTTTATAGCAGTTTATAGAGGTCATGTGACAGAATTAGTAACAAATGAGGCAAAGACCTTTAGTAGAGATTCGGTGATTATTCATGGGGATGTGGCAATTGCACATTGGATGTCGTTGTAAATGAGTCTTTTAAAGATCACTCCAAAAGGCAGTACAGCAAATTCTGGGAAGATGACATTGATGATACGGTTTTTGCATCTTCCTAAACCCCCCATAAAAATAGAGCTAGGATACAAAAACCAAACACACTGACAACATCTACGTTTCAAAAACCTAAGGTATCCTTCAAACCTCAAATGATGAGCAGACGTGGACAATCCACTGATACTCAGAGATCTGCATAGTGTCATAAACTGTGAGGCAGGGTGCAGAGGGGCGCAACAGACTCTCTGAAAGCTCTAAAAGCAGGACAAGAGCTAGATCGCCACCGGACATTTAATAAAAGCAGTCAGAAAGCTTTGGGGCAGCAGCTTTAACTTTGGGCTTTTGTACACTCCTGTACGCAGTGAGGGGTTCCCTGGTGGCTCAGGCATAAAGAATCTGCCTGCAATGCGAGAGACCTGGGTTTGATCCTGGGATGGGGAAGATCCCCTGGAGAAGGGAACGGCAATCCACTCTAGTATTCGTGCCTGGAGAATTCTATGGACAGAGGAGCCTGGCAGTCTGCAGTCCATGTGGTCTCAAAGAGCTGGACACGACTGAGTGGCTAACACACGGGCTTACACAGTGAAGTGCAGTTATCCCTGGTGTGGCCTGTCAGGGCTCATGGAGTCTGAATTCAGTGGTCCCTTACTGGTGTCTCAGACAGTAAAGAATCTGCCTGCGATGTGGGAGACCTGGGTTCAATCGCTGGGTGGGGAAGATCCCCTGGAGAAGGGCATGGCAATCCACTGCAGTATTCTTGCCTAGAGAATCCCCGTGGACAGAGGAGACTCGCAGGCTACAATTCATGGAGCTGCAGAGTCGGACAGAGCTGAGTGACCAAGCACCACGCAGGCACAGCAACGCAGCTCTGTGCAAGGTTCCCGCATGGATGGGAGACTGTGGGAACAGAATCCAGGTTACGCTGCACACAGATGATGCAGCAAAAGACAGAGTGTTAGACAGAAGTAGGAGAGAGCAAGGGACCTCAGAAAACAGGTAACATCATGAAGCAATGAAAGAGTACTCTAGATCCATGAAGCTGGAACATCTGTCACAACCCACTTACTCCTCCCCAGAGTTCAGGAGAACTAATTTCACATAACAATTAGCAACAGAAAGGGATCATGTCTGAGTTTGCTACAAATTTACTCATAAAGAATAAGGAGATAAAGGAGGAAAATTGTATCTCCGATGACGATGAAAGTGCACCATAAAATATACCTGCAAAATCGATCAAAACTATAGCCTAAAATTTCAGTGAAGTTGAATGACACTTGCTCCTTGGAAGGTAAGCTATGTCAAACCTAAACAACATATTAAAAAGCAGAGACATCACTTTGCCAACCAAGGTCTGTCTAGCCAGAGCTATGGTTTTTCCAGTAGTCACGTATGGATGCGAGAGTTGGACCATAAAGAAGACTGAGTGTCGAAGAATTGATCCTTTTGAACTGTGATGCTGGAGAAGACTCTTGAGAATCTCTTGGTCTGCAAGGAGATCAAACCAATCAACCCTGAAAATACATTGGAAGGACTGTTGCAGAAGCTCCAATACTTTGGCCACCTGATGAGAAAGGCTGACTCGCTGGAAAAGACCTTGGTGCTGAGAAAGATTGAAAGTAAAAGGAGAAGGGGGAGACAGATAATGCAATAGTTAGATAGCATCATTGACTGTATGAACATGAATTTGAGCAAACTCCGGAAGATAGTGGGGACAGAGGAGCTTGGCATGCTACAGTCAACCCATGGGTCAGACACGACTTAGCAACTAAACAGTAATGAAAAAATTTTTTTTTCAAAATATACTAAAATAAATGAAAATAATGATGGGGAAGTGAAAAAATCAATCTGTAAAAGAAAAACTAAGTAATGAATTTAATAGAACTCAAAAAAGAATTAGAAGAAAAAAATTCTCAAAGATAAAGATTAAACTGAAAAGAACTTAAGTCTGAATACAAACATCAGATAATACCATGAAATAAAAGTGAAAAGAAGTAAAATTTAAACATCAAACCGAATGAGAAAAAAATATCAAAATGATTTTTGAGAGTAATTGACAGAAATAAAAGATAGATGAAGAACAACATATATAATACAAATTCAGAAAGAACACCACAGTAATAGGATAAAAATAACAAAAAGAATAGTTTAAAACAACTTCGCTAGATTAAAAAGTAAGATTTGACAGCACATACTAAAAAGGAGCACCATGTACTCAAGCAAAATGACCTAGAATGACTAGCAACTGAAACACTCTAAAAAATACTTTGTGCACCCAGGCAAAAGGACTAAGCCACGTAAGAAGGCAAGGAATTTTGATGGTCATCTGACTTCTTGACAGCAACACTTTATATCCGAAGACAATAGAGTGACATATTTAAGATACTCAAGGAAAGAAAATATGAGTCATATATTATAAATCCAGCCAGCCACACTTACATTCAAGTATAAAGACTGCAGACAAATTCCTATCAACAAGTGAGAACTCAGAAAATATTGTTCCCAGGAGCCTTCACTGAATAAACTACCAGTGAATGAAAAGGACTGGAGAGGCATTGACGTGAGGCCCGGTGGGGTGTGTTAAATATAACTCCACCTGTAGAACTACATATAAATGATGTTATAAGGGAGAAAGCACAAGCTGCAACATCTATGGCATGGACATTTTAGGAATAGAGCTGCTACATTTTAAAAGGGGGAAAGCATTTAAAGATGGATTCAGCTTATGAGTACTTTAGAGTTATTAACTAGAAATAAAAGGATACTGTTCCAAATCAATCCCTGGGATACAGGTGATAAAGATGGGGTGACTGGCAGATTTCAGTATTATTTACAGAAGCAAGCCAATAGGTGGATACTGGGGCTTCCCAGGTGGCTCAGTGGTAAAGAATCGGCCTGCCAGTACAGGAGACACAAGAGATTTGATCTCTTGGGTTTGGTCCCTGGGTCAGGGAGATCCCCTGGAGTAGGAAACAGCAACCCACTCCAATATTCTTGGCTGGAGAATCCCATGGGCAGAGGACCCCATGGTCCATGGGGTCACAAAGAGTTGGACATGACTGAGCATGCACACACACAAATGTGGATGAAAGTGAAAGTCGTTCAGTCGTGTCCAACTCTTTGCAACCCCATGGACTATACAGTCCATGGGATCCTCCAGGCCTGAATTCTGGAGTGGTTAGCCTTTCCCTTCTCCAGGGGATCTTCCCAACCCAGGAAACGAACCAGGGTTTCCGGCATTGCAGGTGGATTCTTTCCCAAATGAGGTATCAGATGGATACTGGAAGTCTTATATGAAAGTGTTGATGTAAAGATAGAAATAAAGAGACCACATTATGAAGGACCATTTGTATAAAAAGTAGTTGTATATTTATAAATATAACATAAAACAATATGTCAGAGGGCAAATATAAAAAAGCATATTAATAAATGCAATGAGCTTAATTCACCTGTTTAAACAATCAGATTCTCTAAAAAAGAAGTTCTATATACTGCTATAAAAATAATATATCATTCTATTATATATATATATATGTATATATAGACCCTTAAACTATAAGACATAGGTTAAAAATAAAAGGGTCAGAAAATATATACCAGCAAAATAAAAATAAATCAGAGGACATTTTCCTTATCCCCAAAAGAAACCCATACCCATTAGCAACCAACTCCCATTTCTTTCAATACTCCTAGTTCAGGCAACCACTAATCTACTTTCTATTTATAGATTTTCCTAACCTGTTTCACATCAGTGGAATCAGGCAGTGTATCCTCTTCTGTGAATGCCTTTATTCACTTAACATAATGTTTTCAAAACTCACCCATGTTATAGCATCTACCACCTTCAGTTCTTCTGATTG